CCCCTCCCCGTCCCCTCCCCTCGTCGCCAGCACTACTAGCATTCTGGACATAAGGTGAAGTCATGCGCTGGCCATGAGGTTGCGCAATACAGCACGAACCGTGCGCAATGAGGTCGCGCAAATGCGGCTTCTATGCCGCGCGTGCGCACCCGGCAGCCTGACACAGCGCGTACTGCGTTCACAGACCGTATTGCTCGGCACCAACGAGCATCGATGCAACACAGCCTCTCTGCAAAGCCCTGTGGAGAAATCCCTCGCGTCGCGGAACACCATTCGACTCAGCCTTATACCCTGGCGTGGCGAAATCTTACCGCATCGTGGAGCACAACCTGCATAGCGTGACGTCCATCCCTGGCAGTACCGGCCGCACCCCTCCAGCACTATCCTTACAAGGGGGTTGGTCACTGAGTCACTGCGGCTTCGATGCAACGCGTGCATGCCTGTAATCCTGACACAGTGCGTGCAGCTGTGGGACCATAGCTGGTACACATGCGAGCGTTTACGCATTGCGACTTTTACGCGCGCTTGTGTTCACACACCTAGACACAAACGAGCGTCGACGCAACGCAGCCTCTCTGCAGAGCCGTGTGGCGCAATCTGACCGCAACGGTGTTCCTTTTGAGCCTTCTTGTGCTCTCTGGCTTTGTTGGTTTCATGCATGATTGACCAAGGGGCACGTTCCTGAAACACTGGAGACAGTCCCTCACCAGAAAAGGTTCCGACAGCTACCCGGTCCGTCTCTACCTTTCGTGTTTCCCCGCTCAAGTTGATTATATGCGATTGCCGCAACAGATGGACATGTACTGGTGTAGTGTGTACAGTATTCCCAGTAGATTCTGTGCAAGAATACAGGATACTGTCCATCTAACCCTTCCTCTACAAGCTTTCCCTTGCATTTAATTTAATCAAGGTCCAATGTTCTGGCAGATCGAAGCCATCTAGGTGTGGCACTTGGACGGGTAGACCAGCCAACATGTTTGCGTTGGAACCGGAGAACTCTCGAGTCTGCCAAGCAAAGTGGTGCATGTGCAACTATGTGGGCATGTTGATTGACTTGTTTGTTAATGTATCATGTATCCAGTATCCATATCTCATCATATCCCGTTAACCTTCGCACGTGTCAGTGCATTATTTTGTGGAAACAGACATTATGTAGTGTGTAGTCGCGCTATTCTGTTTGAAACAGTTGACTGGATTTTATTGTTGGAAAGTGCTGCCAACCAATCGTTTAAGTGACAAAGGTCGCTACCTAGCCCTTTGCGAGCCTTTCAAGTTACGAGCTGGCATAATTTCCTCTGTGATGCCGGCTAAGCACTTGAAAGCGGACAACAGCATTGACGGAGCTTGAACATGTTTGCAGCTATTACATGGTTTTTGCTGTTTAATTGTGAGGCTCCGGTGTGTTGTTGCTCCCTAAATGAATTTCCCAAAGCTCACACTGCTCGCAGCCACTCCTCCAGGATCACCAAATGCCCAATGCCCTGGCACCCTGAGGTCACAAGATGCCATGCGTTTGTGCAAGACTCAGTCCCGACTCAAGGTTCTCAAGGTAGATGCAGGCTCAAGTGGTTCGCTTGTGATAGCCGTTCAGAATCTTGTTTTGTAGGATTATAAGCCATGTCATGTTCAAAATCTTTTCATATAAGCAATTATACTACTTCAGGAGGAGGAAAGTTTGGTAGCAACTTCACTCGAGAATCTCACAGACATTCTATTTTTCCCAATTAGTTTCCACCCCGAACTAAATTAGTATATATATATATACACACTATAAATGTACTTCGGCATAATCCGCCGGAATTCCACTGTGATCCTTTGTAGGGGTGAGGGGAAAGGGTTGTAGGTCATGTTATTCACAGTTGTGTTACCATCTTTTGTCCGCCCTTTGCATGACTAATACGATACTACACTACACTACACATCACTGCATTATACTATGCATACATACAGCATTCCAGAAATCGCACGTAGATGGAACAAGGAGAAAATTGGCTACAGTCCTAGGTGCGTGTTGACCCGAGGTTGCCATGTTGGATGTTACTGTTTTGCTGTGCAGAACGTCTTGTACAGTAAATCTGCGAGACCACAGCATCCAACAGCACACCCATGTTCTGTGGCACTTGCCATATTATTTACTTGGTGGCATGCTTACTCACCTGCCTTCCATGATATTCCAGAAGCTGTGGACCAACAGTCAGGTCACAGATTTCCAACCTTGCTTTGATGAAACTATATACAGTAATAGAATGAGCTCGCGGCCGACCTCCCCTTCGTGGAGAGGGGCGAGTAAGGCGCACGCTTTCAATACAGTAGAATGAAATAATAACATAGGATGTGAGTTGATGCCTGTCATTGGCCTTTGCAGCTGTCAACCCCTCAAAAGTTCTTCCCGCCCTGCCCCCCGTCGAAGGGTAGGCAAGCATCAGTTTCGATACCCCACGAAAGAGAGATGAGCCAAGCCTCGGCCATACTTGTAGCCTCCGAAGGGTGCCATGTACCTGCTACTGTAAATGATGGTAAATGTCACCCTGCGAAGCTTTCAATGCGACGGGGCCAAACGGGTCTAGAATGCAGGAAACTAGCAGTGAATGAGCCGCTCACATCAACAGTGATTTCCAGGATCACCTCTCCAAGATCTTCCAATGTCTCACTGTTTTCGAAAGTGGTTTGGTCCGAAACACTGTGTCGCAAGTGGGCTGACCATCCTGAAGGCTACCACTCAAAGCGCCATTGTCCCTTCCATTTGGTTCACGGCGGACTTCTCGCCAACGCCTTCACAGTTTGTATACCAAACATCCTTGAAGACGAGCTGCAACAACTGAATCCAGGCGGCGCAATCGCGGACACTGTGACAACACCATGGATGAACGAACACAGGAATGCAATCCATGAGCCTACATCCCAGATTTCCGTCTTGACTTAGACCGGCCAGCTGGTGATGTACGGGATGAGGTGGGAAGTTGGCACTGTGACGCCACAGCAACGAGAATCACTAAGACCGCTAAGATTAGAATGCCCTGCAGCAGTCACCAAATCCAGCAGCATGTCAACCAACTGAACTGAAACAATCAAAATAGGCAAGGTAATCTGGCTGGTCTCTGAATGCCCTGGAAATAAAGCAGTGCTCAAGAAGCTACTAGTAACAAGGGCATTAGTACTAGTAGCAAGAAGCTACTAGTAGCTCCTGGCATTACTACTAGGAACAAGAAGCTACTAGTAACAAGGACTCAGCTGGTCTCTAAATGCCTTGGAAATAACGTGCTCACTGAATGGGGAAACAATACATGGCTTTGGGCTTTGCAGTCTCATCCGCTCCACTGGAAAGACTTGACCCATCACAGTTTCAACGATTTTGTGCCCTTGATCCTGTGACGACAACATGTTCAGAACTACTGCAAATATTTATATAGATGTGAAGGTAGCGAAACCTGACCAAAAGAGCACTATTAGGTGACGTATTACGTATGCAGAAGTGATGTTGAAAACCACAGAAAGTGAGGAAACCCAACCCAAGTAACCATGGCTTCATGCACCGGTGCAACTTTCAAACGGGCGGCTTCATATCGCTTCCATGTTTTCTGCAAACACATCCAGCTGCTTATTTACATAGTTAGACCATGTGTATATATGTGAATAGTTACATCATATATACATATATATAGCAGTTAAATATATACAGTGTGTATACATATTATATATATATTGAGTTTTTTGCTAAGGCCCAACATGCCTCAGAGCGGACCCCCGCGAACTCCACGCATAGTGGCCTAATCGACATCGCCTGGGCTTGATGAGAAGCCAAAAAGTTTTGTTTTCCAGCATCCACCATTTCGGCGTTGTCATTTACTGTATATGGACTCCTTGATTGTTTTCAAAATGTTGATTTGACTCTGGTTGTGAAAGTGTGAGTAGCATTGTTAAGAGAAGAAGGATTTGGCAAAACACAACGTGTTGTTCCTGATGCTTTGGCCTTTGGTCGTAGGTACCTGGTAGTCTACGCCTGCAAGATGTGCAAGGAAACTATATATACAAGTGTTCCTGCCAACAACAACTATAGAACCGGTTGGAAGAGGACTTCGTATCGTTTGAATTTGTAGTTCGGCAGACGACACTTGAAGCACTTTCCCACATGTTGGTTGGTTGCATGGTTCAGGAGTGAGAATGATGGGCCGTTTTCATAACCCTGGCAATATCACTTTATATTAATAACATTCTGGGCTGTTGCTAGCTCGCCACCGCAGACTGAAGAGTTGTAAAGCAACAAATTTCATACTGCCTGGTAAGGGTTATATATAATGATTGTGCTTGTGTGTGTGTGCCAGCGTGTTTGGGTATTTGTTTATGTTCCGTGTTTGCTGTGACATGTTGCCACAATGTCGCAATTCCAGAGTCAGAACGGGTCTATTTCAACAGTTTGGAGTCAAGATAGAAACAAGGTTAGGATTGTTGATGGCAAGATAGGTCGCTTAGTTGGATGGATATGTCATTGAAGCGAAGACCATGCTGGCATTATCATCAGAGCCCGGGACCCGGGACTTTGCACATAGTATGTTTCACACAGAAGATGACGACGTCCGGATGCTCCTTTACCTGCCACTATGTTATATATAGTTGTATGGCTGTATTATATGGTTCTGTGGTATAATAGTGGGGCAACAGCTAGAGGAGCAGCGTGCCAGAGATGTCATGCAGATGGCTAGTCGGACAGCTGCCGCAAAAAGCATTGTGGCTAAATGTCAGAAAGGACTTGCTAGTCGTGGTCGCTGGCTTAAACTGCAAGCGACATAGTCACAGCATCTGCCTGACAGCTATGTCTTGCGAGAACTGTTCAAAGTGCGCTGGACACCACATTGCTTTTGTCTTCGCGGTCTTGGAGTTGCTGGAAACACGCTGGACAAAGGCATTTTTAGTTTTGGTTGGAAGACTCGCTTTTGCCGTCCTCTCCGCTCCACGGCATGATGTTTTTGAGCCTTTCTTTCAAACACGAGGCCATGTTTCCATGCAGTTGCTTTTTCTGGGAATCTAGACTGGACATACCGGCTTTACATGGCTTTACCGTCTTGCTTCATTTGGGGTCGCTCAGAATTTGATGGCCAAAGTCTGCGCGACAAAGCGCTCCGGGAAGATCCGATGGAGGAAGATGCAGGGCAGCTTGCCTGAATTCAGCGACACATACACAGAAGCAATGCTCAGCATATTTGGTTCGGACATGTCACGACACTACCCTATGTTTGGATGTTTTCGGGTGAAAACCATCAGACGAACATGTTCCTATTTGTTCCTAGAAGCTGGAATCGTCACACAGATTCCTTCAGGTTCCCACCTGTGCCTTTGAATCAGTAGGCTACTGAAGCTTAACATAGCTTAACACTTTGAATTCCATCAAGACCGGAATAAAATTCATGTGTAGATTCCGGATGGTGAAGCGTCAGATCTAGAGGGGAACCTGACATTTGTTCATTGTTTGATCAGTTTCCTTCTTGGTGTGCAAAATTTAGGGTTTGGCTGTGATCTTCGAAAAATTGCAGCTTATGTGTTTCCTTTGAATTGTTGGTTGGGTGAGCCCAGTTGCCAGGGCGCCGGCAGGGCCTTTAGGGCTCCGTCCAGGCGATCCCGTGAGGCCAGCGGGTCACCATTTTGCTTCAAACGGTGTCACATCGCCTTTAGCGTCCGATCGCTCCGAACGTACCGATGCCCTTTGTTACTAGTAGCGTCATTGCTCCTAGTAGTAAGGCCAGGAGCCCCTAGTAGCGTCTTTGCTCCCAATAGAATCCGAATGGGAGTAGCAAGACTACATTGACTACATTGAAACTCGGGCGTGCAGGCAAGGAGAATGCCATGGGATACCAGGGACGCATGAGATAGAATCCTTCAGACATCGCAGGTTTTGACTTCTTGAGAGAACGGAAAGAGAGACAGTCTGCTTATTTCCACAGGCAGCGGTGTTGTGAGTTGCTTCAGTGCTTACATTTTTTTCATGTTCTCACAATCTATCAGCCATGTCGCCATGTTTTTTCCAAGGCTGAAGAGACTGCAGGCCAATCAGAACATGAATCTCGTTGTCCAAAGCTAGTCATGATGGTTGGAAGTGTGCTATGCTGCTATGTAAAAGACTTGTTGTTTGCGTTTTGTCCACTATCCATGTCATAGAGTCATAGCCTGTTTGTCGTCTCATTCAAACGCCTACATGTCCAGTCCAGCAAGTCTTTGAAGTCCAGACAGAAGCTCTAGCTAGTCTCGTTGTGCTGATGGCGGGCAAGTCGGCGAAAGCAGATCTCAATTGCAATACCACGCCATTTCGACTTGCGGTGAGCGCATGTTTAGTTGAATGTATTCTTGATCTGAAAGCCAAGGAACGGTTTGGTTGGCTACTTCGTAAAAATGGAAACAGAAGCAGATGGAGGACGCTACGTAGTGCAGCCGGCAAGTTTGAAAAACCACAGAGAAGATAGAAAAGGAGCTGGAGTTTGTCAAGGAAGCTAATCCCGAGTACCTATATTATTTAAAAAATAAAAACACACCATGTCCGAAACCCTAAATACGAGTTATATTTGGTTTTACATTACCGCCCTTTCAAACCGCTACTAAACTACCAACATGGTCGATTTTTGGGGTAGTCTTTTTCACTAGGTTCCAAAAACAGCCATAAAGGTTTTTGTAGGGGAAAAGGAAGACCCTTCGATCTGGAGGTTTTTTAAAGTTTTTGATACGAGTTTAATAAAGGATTTTGTAAACAAAAATCCTGGGTGACTTTTTGGTTTTGAAGCTCTTCCCAGGTGACCCTATTTTGGACCACCCCGATTTCAGGGCGGGCCGTGTTTTTATAGGTGGACAGGATTACTCAGGTCCTGCCCCACTTTTACTTGCTCACTCGTTTTTTCTCATGTGGTTGCGCCCGCAGGAAATCACGCACTACAGATCCACTACATGCTGCATAATGTTACCAATGCATACCTTGTTCATCTACGATGATTTCACGCTACAGTAAGTTTCATACAAGTTTTGGTTTGCCCTTTCCAGAAACTGGAAACGTGAAAGATCGTGAAAGGCTTCGACCATGCATTCTATCATTCTGTTCTTTCGTATCTATTTGAACTTGAAGAGAAACTGCTGGAAGGAGACGCGTTTTCAGCTGAACGCTGCAAATTTAGGTACTGCTGAGAGAAAGAAAATAGAAGAAAGAGTATCAGCCTAAATGAACTGTCCAAATTCCCTGTGCTAATCTTTTTTCCTGTACTTGTATTGCAGAAGGATTGTGTCAACATGAGCTCACATAGGTTTCGTTCTGAACAAATTTATGCAGACAGCCTCTTTTCCAGGTGGAGCTGGGCAAGCGTGGGCCAGTCAGAGTCCGAGAGCACAATGTGGAGAAGGCGGTAGGGTGGTAGGGTGGCGCAGGGCTAGTAGGGCCCATGATTGCTGAAACAAGCTCTTGACACTGAGTGGCAAGGTGAGAGACGGCCTTACAAATTGACAAACTGGGTAGGAGGTCTTTGTTGCATCACCAAGAATGCGCCAGCTCAAAGGCCTTCAAGACATCTCAAGCCACTTCAATGAACGTGTGGGAGTTGGCAGGTTGCACCACCTCGCCGGAGCTCAAGCCAGGGTCCAAGATCAGGGTGTGGTTGGTTGAAGAGATCCTGCTTGAAAAGTGCTCAACCAACCAGCGTGCTCCATCATCCCCAATTACTAGATATGCAAAGCAAATCTTTTCTGGAATGTGATTCTGCTTGGAGGTATCCCTCCAAAAGTTAAGTGCCCCAAAAAAGCTAGGGAGCAACTCATTAAGGCTCAGGCTTCATCAAGGAAGCTCCCCCCGCCGCCCTAGGCTCTAAGCACTAGCCTACATCCAGGTAGTAGCTTACTTAGTTAGCTCACTTGTAAGCCTCCTCATACCACCCTACCTCCCCTTCGGCCTAAAACTAAAGGTTTGCCACAGCAACGCTGGAAGTGCTTAGGATTGGCTCAACGACGGGAGGAGGTGGCAGCAGCCGAGGCTGAGGCAGCGGAGAAAGCGCCTGCATTGAAAAAGAAGCAGATGCGGAAGACGTTTCTCAGCAGCAGGTGGGCATAGTCGACATGTCCCAAGCATCTTTGAGGCCCTGAGTGGGCCATAGCGAACAGAAGGTTAGCTGCTTCGGAGCAGTTGTGTCACAATTCCAAAGGTACGCTGGATGTGAGGTTCATGCGTGTAGTGGCATGGCCCCTGTAGGTGGTCACTGAGCGATACTAATACTATGGCAGTGCAGAGTTTACATTGCAAACATCTTATGGTCTCATGATGTTTTACTTCTAAGTTTCGAACATGGCATTCAGTTACCGTAGGAACGGCTTTGAAAATGGGGAAATCACACCGCGCACTCTCGGCCAGTCAAGTTATAGATGGCTACTGATCTCTGCCCCTTTTTCCGCCCATGAAATGTTAGGGTGAGTCCTGTCCTATGCAAAGGCCCACGGAGTTGCTTAGTTTGCACTGGCCCAGGCCCGCAAACAAGGCTGGGCAATCGAGCACGTGGAGGATTGGCGTGGCCTTGCCTTGGTTACTAACAATAAGTCCCTCGAATCTAATTGACTTCATGTATATAAAAGACAAATACTCCGAGGTTGAAGTTGTTTCAACATTGTTCAAGCGTATTTGAGAATCGCGTAGTGTACTGTACAATCTCAGGGGTCCGTATTGCTGCAGTTGTCACTGCTGCAGAAAATGTGTTCGCCATTGTTCGCCCTTTTGTAGAATGCTTGGTCCTGGAAGACAGGGGCTGGTTGACTGTTGACTGTTGCAGGTCAAATTCAGGGCCAGGGCGAAGGTGGTCGCCAAA